GTGGTAATAATGGTGCTTTCCCACCGCTAAGGATTTTTATACAGACATGTCACCCTGTGGAAAACTGTCTCAATATAGAATAGAATAGAATAGAATAGAATAGAATAGAATAGAATAGAATAGAATAGAATAGAACAAAACAACACAAAAAAAACAGAACATAATTCATATACGTTTCTCCCACTTAAAATCAGTAAAGGTTTGTTGAAAGATTAAATAAAATAATTAAATAAAATGGACTCAATGAACGACTTTCACACAAAGTCAATTTTCCTAGAACATTTCTGATATTTATCTCAAAACTTCAGCATTTTTTCAAGGAAATGTTTCACTTTCCAAACTCAAAAATGTCTCTATTTTTTCTATTAATGTTTTTAGGTTTTAGTTCTTTGCCAGAAATTTACTCCTCTTTTTATTTTGTCTATATTCTTACAGTGGCTCTACTACATTGTTGTCTATAAAACATCAGTTTTATGCTGTTAAACTGAATTGCTCAAGTAAATAAACCTCCACTGTACTCTCTCTCTCTCACTGAGATGCACCTGTGCATCACAGAAAAACATGGGGAAAAAAAGAACCTGGATGCTGCAGCAGATTACGTTTGATGAAAACAGATAATTGCATGTGAGGGTTTTTGCATGATGATGCAAATCCTGGCATCTCTCATCGATTTCTCTCCTCTAATCTGAACGGATCAAGCTGTGGATAAAAACATGAGCAGCTATGAAGGAGGATTGTGAAGCCTTGGGACTGGCTGTGCTGCAGAGTGTCATCCATATATTTCTTTTAAATCAAAGGCAGCAGAAATACATTTTCTCTGTCAGCTCCTGACAATGAATGATGAGGTCCTGAATGAATACACTGTGTTCTGTGTGCAGCTGCTCACCGTTAGTAATATCTGATCAATTCACACCCACACAGTAGTGATGAAAGGGAATTTGGGTGCCGTTTCTCCAAGCCAATAGTAATGTTTGTTGAAGGATAATCCAAACCAAAGTAAAAAATACTCATAAATATTAAATTCAGATGACTAATTTACCTCAAAGTGCAATGTTGTCTGAGTTTTTCCTTGCAGTCGACTGTGTCCCCAGACTGTTGGTTTTCTGAAACAGGGAGAAATACATATCCTGTGTGCCAAAAATAAATGTGAAATTCAAGAAATAGACTTGGTATTATGGGGAACATGAGTCTCAGCTGGGACTGGAATGAATAAAGAGAAATTTATAGAGAAAACAGCGAATCCTAGATGCTTGGAGCGCTGCAGAGTCGAGGGGAAAAGGGAGAAAACACACACACACAGACACTCACACAAGCTGAAACAGTGATGAAACCTTAGTGCATGCATATGGTGCGGTTTATGAATAAAATGTGAAGTGAAAGTAAAAGACATAGGGGACAAAAGTTGGATGCCACAGTAAAGTGGGGTGAAATCCTGACAGCGATACAACAAGCCTTTATCTTCAGCTGCAAGAAAAGGAAATAAATCACTGGACTGAAGCTGCAAGGACTAAAACTAACTAAAAATCCTTTGCTATTGAAGTAAAATAATCCCTAACTGAAAATTTAGAAAGCTTCCATTATTAATTTGCATATTCAAATCAACTTTTAGCAAGTAATGGTTTTTGATTCTCTTCTCTTCTTTCTTTTTCTTTTATTTTAAATTAAATCACTGTTTCCAATCTAAATGGCATCATTAACAATTGCTATAAATATGCAACAAGACATTCATAAATATTTTTGAATGAATATTTTTTAATCTGATCAGAGTCGCATCTGTTTAAACTGAACATGACAGGCACATTTTTCTTACAACCACTTTTCAAAATGGGAAAAACAGGAGAACATGCTATGCAAGTACGATATTTTAAAACTGCAAGATAATTTATAAGATGCATTGATTGTGGGATTAAAGGGGCAGTATTATGTAAAATTGACTCTTTTGAGCTTTGCATCATCTAATAATGTCATTGGCTCATCAAAAACATACCTGTACTGCTGCTTTGATTGTTTTAAGCATGTTTTAGAAATCCTTTAATGTCCATGGCAACCATTCAGCTGTGCAAAACGCCTGGGTGGACCTAGCCCCGCCTTCTAGGTCCAGCTCCTCTTCAGAGCTGCAGTTTCCAATCTTCCACTTCACAGAGCAGAATTCTCTGTGAAAAGTTACCACAGGGATAAATGTTGTAAATCAGGACCTTTCATTCTAGCCAGTAGCAATTAGCAAACACTTGGTGGAACTGAACATCTGCTGAGCTCATTATTCGAGCCACATCTCTGTGCAAAGCAGGGAAAAACCTTGTTAAAGAGTTAATAGTGGAGTAAGATTGTGACGACTTCCTGCAGGTGTTCCAGAAAGAGGGACAGTTTTAAAGAGACAGAGGCCCAATTTCAAAGTGCTAAATTTCAAAGTGAACATCAATTTTATGTCATATTGAAATATATAGAATTTTTACAACTGATGGTAACCTAGTTACTTGATTGTATTATATTATGACATTATGTCCCTAGAAAATATATGATACTTCCCATTTAACTCCTCTTCACTAAAAGGATTGGTGATGACACAGGCAAATTCGCAGTACCGTCATTCTGCCACACTTTGAGCTATCTGAAAAATTCCAATGGTTTCTGAAAGAGGAGACATTGCTCTTTCCAGCCAATATTGGGTTATTATGGTCATTTCACCCCCACTGTAGCAGGAGTGAAATCAATATGAGGGGCACTCAGATTACGAAAATAACTTGCTAGATATTGAAAGTTCCAGTTGTTATGGATAAATGGGCAAATATCTCTACTCACAAGACTTTTAAAGAACTTTGTACAATTAAAATAAACAAAAATATTCAAGCGGGGATTTGAAAATTAGGTCTTAAAGGGTTTAAGTAAAACATGAAATTACAAAAATTTTGAGGATGAAGTATATCTATAGCATATATCCTAACACATATTTGCAATATTTTCTGTTTTGTTTTGTTTTGTTTTGTTTTCTGTTATTCATGCAACCTTCATCCCACTGGTTAATGCTGCCCTGGGCAACTGCCCATGTTGGTCACCTAGTAGGTCATCACTAAAAGCCTCCAGCAGTTTCAGGTGCTGCAGCAGATACACAGTAGGTACACAGAGGACACCCTTATTGATTTGCTCTGTGCTGCTGCCTGCTGCTGGATGTATGCACTAAAAGAGAATTAAATAACATATATATATGTTTTCACCTCTTGCACCTTGGAAACATAGTGGAAAAAACAAACAAAAATCTAGCATTGCATGCTGAGACACACAAACCCAATACAAACATCAAGCTTTAATAAAGCTTTCTAAACTACCAAAATGTTATGCATCATACGCTCAAAGATTAACTAAGAAAAAAATAATTATTACATTTTCTCTGATGTACAGGTGACGTAGAGGGATTGCATAAAATTTGGTGGCACCACCTCACTTTTGAAAGTGGAGGAACTTCAAGTGCTTTTTGAGAGACGAGTAAGAGTCAGATTGACTTTATTCCTGACGCAATATTAAGCTCAAACTCTTTTCTATGTCCTCAATTTACCAATAACAGGGGAGAAAATAATAATACGTATTTACCAGGGATGTCAATAAATGTTGTTTAAATTGCTAAGAAACCAAAGAGTTATTCTGAGAAAAACTTTTCTGGAAAAATAATTGTGTTTGTAAAATAAGGGCGTATATAGAATAAACTTAAATTCATTTTATTTTACTAACAACCACCATATATTATTTTGAAGCAGTTTCTCATTGATTTTACCCTGTTACATTGTTATTTATCAATAGAAAATGTGTTAAATTTCTTTTTAATCTGCCATTTATGCAACACCAAATTTTATACCAATCAATAGAAATAAAATCTGCAGCAGCAAAGCTTTTCTTAAGGCTGCAGCCTCCTGTCCTTTGTATGAAAAACACTAATGCTTTCAGAGTCAGAGGAAATCATCTTCATGCATCCATCTCCATGCACAGAGGATTCTGCTTAAATGATTTATGGCTTGCACGAACAAAAGGGTTTGATAAAGTTCTCCTCTAAGCAAACCTAAATCTAAAACATGTCACTGTGGGTTTTTTTCCAAGATTAAAATGATTCATATTCTAATTTTGTATTCTGTTCACAGTGTCTTTCTGTTTTCATTAGATACTTGCAGAGCAAACTGAAGGGGAAAGAAGGGAAGCTGAATTAAGGAAACTGAAAGAAATTAAAGTGTTTTTTATGCTATAAGCACAAGAAGGCTGACTATAGTGCTTTATTTTATGAGATATCAAACTACCTATTTACTGTTGTTTATCAGAAAAAGATGTGATAGTAACAACAACAATTATAATAACAATTTTTTAACTGAATTATTAAATTCTGATTAATCCCAGAGGGAAACTTAATGCTGGGGTAAGTCATATTATCCTGAAGAAGCCTCTGACTGAAGACACTCTTCTTAATGAGATTGTGTCATTATTTCATGAAGAAGATGCTCAAGGTTGTCTATTATGTTCACCTTTTATATGGTACAATTCTAAAATTTTATTTTATTTTAGATGGCTAGCCTTCCAGATTTTAAGATTAATCTCTGAAATTACTAAATAGAGAAGATTAATTTCAAAAAACTATTTTTTTCTAGAAAATATCTGAGATTAATCTAAAAAAAATTCTAGCCAAGTTTTGACTTTTCTAATGGAGAAATGTCCAAGTTTTTTGGGGAAAGTTTCTGAGATTAATCTAAGAATTTTGGCGGAAACGTGCTTTTTTTCTACAATGTCCTTAGTATTCTGACGTAAATTGGAGATTTATTACTTTAATTTAATTTAATTTAATTTAATTTAATTTAATTTAATTTAATTTAATTTAATTTAATTTAATTTTATTTTATTTTATTTTATTTTATTTCTTTGACTAGCTTCCTAGCTATACGCTCCAACTTCACTTCCCAGAATGCACCACGGCAGAATTCGCCGCCTCCCATTGGTCCGGCTCCCTGAGCAGCGGAGGCAGGACTAGAGGTAGTGCTAGGAGCCCGGCGGAGATCTGCGGAGCTGAAATGAAGCGCACACACGGAGCGGCTCACACCACGCAGCGCCGTGCGGCTCAGGAAGAGGCTCCACTCCGCTCCAGCTCAAGCCTGCTGCGGCTGAATGAAGGGCTCCGTCCATGCGGAGGCTAGCGCTCTTCCTGCTGCCCTGTGCTGTCGCCGTCCTGGTGCACTTGTGGTTGGCACAACGACCCTCCTTCTCCTTCTTCTTCACCCCGCTGGAGAACAGCACACGCTCGGGTACTTTTAATTTTTAGCCTCCCTATCCGGGCTTTACCTCTGCGAAGCCTCGGAACTTTTTTACGTGATAGCAGCTGGCTAACTTTGCCTCTTACCGCCCGGTGTGTTATTCAGTTTGTGTGTGAACAGGTAGTTATTGGCTTAGCTGCATAATAATGTGTGTTATTCTGTGCGTTTTGTGGATAAATAATGTGAATATTCCAGTTCAGTAGTGCTGGGCGTTGCTGGGATAGTCAGGGAGTACAGCATCTCAGCCTTTTATCCCCAGACTGTAGATAAAGACCCACTTTAGACCCTGGATTGTGTGTAATCTGGTTCTTTATGCTGTCTTTACACGGATTACCACTTATAGAATCACGAGGAACCTTCTTCGACACTTGAGTATACATGAAACTGCTCTTGCTGGATGGACGGATGATGAACAAAAACATAAATCTCTGTTATCTCTGCCTGCTTATATAAATATTTATAATTTGTCTCTTTAATACTTTTTGCTTTGTTTTGGCTATTTGCTTATACATTTGCTTTTACTATTGTAAGAAAGGTAATTAATTTTTATTTATTTATTTATTTATTTATTTATTTATATTGTTTTTCCAAAGAATTTAGACATGAAAATGTGCCTTGATATGCATTAGTAAATTTGATGACTGTCATATATGAAAACCTAGGTTATTAAAGGATGCTAAGTTTAAGTTTGAGGATATGACACATTAAAAATGTAACAAATTTAAATTATTTTAGAAAAGCATGTCTTAAATATGTACCTGTATTTTGCAAAAAAGATTAAATTAGAAATTAGCAATGATAAAACTAAGCTTGGATATGAAGTTACTGTCATTTATTACCCTGCTTGATACTTTTTTTTTTTTAATTAATTCATTTATTTATTTCTATGCATCTTTCTTGGTCATTTTTACAATCCAGTTCCTGTTATATTTGTTTTAATAAAACTAGGTTGCCAGATCACTTTATTTATTTATTTTTTTTATTATTATTTGTATTTAGTTAGCCGTCATGTCATTTGTATTTAATGTTATTACATTTTTCTACCATGCTCAGTAGCCAGATCAGCTTGTAACAAAAAAGAAGTGACTGTTCAGCTGAATTTTGTGAAAAATGTAAACTCAAAAATACAGATTTCATAGCGTTTTTTGAGATCTGAGCTGAGAATTCTGATATGTTCTGTTATTCATTTATTTTCTAAGGAGTATAGCTTACAAAAGAGTGAATACGTTCTGCAGGGTCTTTGATAGAGGCAGTCGCTTTCACTCTGACAGAAAATGAAGGAATTCCCAGTATATCCTCAGGCTGATGCATTTATTTAGTTGCTGTTTGGGCTATGGATGATGCATTGTGATCAATAGAAATGAATGAACAAATGGTATTAATCCTTAAACTTCAAACCGAACCTGTAAATATCTGTACATTTTCAATGCAGATGAGCGCTTGCCTTTCTTTGACGTTTTGGTGGGAGTTCTGTCCGCAAGGCACCATCATGACCTCCGGCAAGCAATAAGAGACACGTGGCTGGGCTACATTACAGATCACCCGCACTTCCAGCACAGGTTTGTGAGCCGACGCTCCAACTTCATCGCCCTCTCTCTCTCTCTCCCTCTCTCTCTCTGTTTTTTTGTTAATACTTTCACTCTGAACTCGTATAGTGGAAATAAAGCCTCCAGCCGGCAACAGATGCCTGACTGTGGAATCCATCCTTTTATCTCCGCCTGACCAGTGGCCAATGTTGTTCTCTCTTTTCATTCTTCTCATTCGGCGATCTGGGCACCGATAAGGTGTGGATGGCCTTTAAGCAACCCCCCGGTAACCATAGTAACGGAGGGTGGAGGGAGAGAGATGGACAGGCTTTTGAGATGTTTGTAGCTGGATGATGTTGCATGAAACAACAAAAAAAAATCTAAATTATTATTATTATTTTTAAATGAACCGTGCTGCTGTGTTTCTGCTCGTTCTTCCAGAGTGGCGGTGAAGTTCATCGTGGGTCGACATGGCTGTCCCATCCCGGACGAGGACAGGGAGGATCCGTACTCTTGCTCCCTCCTGAACGTCAGCGAGCCAGGTGAGAGTAAAAGGTCGAGATCTGCGGACTGCAATGCCGGGGTACGCCCCTCTGCCTGCATCGCGCTGTCAGAAGCAGCGGAGGCAAAACAACAGCAGAGGAGTTGGGAGAATGAAAAGAATGAGTATTCAGGAAAAAAAAGAGGTGAAAAAGCGTTATTCATGCTCACCCACAGCTCAAGGACAACTTTCTTTTCTCCATCCAAGGCTTTTGCAGAAATGACTGACTGACTAAGTCTGCTGCAGATGAAACAAGAAACGGCTCACTAATATGAAAAGTGGAGCTTATAAAATGAACCAAGGCGCTGATGAATAAAACAGCGCTCCTCCTCCACCTACTGCTGTGCACTGCTGCTCAGCTGGCCCACAAAAGGCTACTGCACCTCACTTACAAAATAGATAAATTACCTTCTAAAACCTAGAACAGTCAATAAATATTATAGATAAAAGCATTTTAGTTACTATAATCAATACCGTAGATTATGAGAGTAATTTAAATTTTCTGCTTGACGTTTTGCTATTTAGCTACAATAAATTACTTCAAGGTTCATAAACTGAATAATCTCACAATTTATCACCTCAAAGTTTCTCTGAACAGTGAACTCTAGCTTTTATTGAGCTCAATGTATCACATAAAAGTAAATAAGAGCATTTCTTAATATTTTTGTTGCTTTTATTCAGAAGTAAATCTGAAATAAACACTTTAACTAAAGATTAAAAAGAATCAACGAGAACTGACTTCTGACACCAGCAGCATTTATTATTAATCACACTAAACTTTGATTACTAATATCTAATCTCTACTGATTTAATTAAGCAAAAGAAACAAACAAAGATACTATATTAAACTCCGCTGCCACAAATTAAAGCAAAGTTTTAGATTTTATCCACACACCACCTCCCACAAAGTCACGTATGTTGATGTGCAAAACAAACATTATCAGTTAGTTACTTTTTGGTAGAAAGACAGAAAAGAGAAAAATGATCAAACATACAGATTATGAGAATAATTTAAATTTATCATGTGATTAATTGAAGGGAGAGTGAGTTCAAATTGTTGGAATTACATTCTTTAGACTCAAAAACGTCAACAAGGTATGATTTTGGACATAATACCATCTCATAGCGCTGACTTTTTACACATTCAAAGATCCAGATATTCTCTCATTAACTGAATAAAAACACAAGTCCACGCTCAAGGTTTACCATATTAACAAACACTATGTAAAGTACTTTTTCTACTATTTCTGGATCATTTCAAAGCCTCTAAATTAGTAAATTCACATATTAGAAACTTTTTTAACTTAACAACTAATGCATACCAAATGGATATATTTGTCACATTTTTGGGATTTGAATGCCACCTGCATCAAATTAGAGGTTATCTGCAAGGACATTTTTAATAAACCTGGATAAAAAGCAGTTAATTTATGTGAAATATCAGATGCACTAAAAATAAATATGCTTAAAAATGTTACCACAGTAAATCAGTGGTGTTTTATTTATTTTATTTTTTTTTTATCAAGGTTATCCCTCCAGCCGTGCTCAGATGCACCATCTATGCTGTAATTGGACAGAATCAATTGTCAGATTGGACGTCTGCAGTGATAGTTACCGTCTCTCACCTTCACAGAGTCGGTCCAGCTCCATGTTTTCTGCTCGGCACGAAAACATAATTACTGCTCATCAGAATGGACTTTTTTTTTTTCAGACGACAGCCTTTAAGGTCAGAGCAGCGTTTTATTTTCCCTCGCTCACCGCCGCCGTGTTAATGGCCACACGCATTGACGTGATTTGCCTCCGAATTGCAGGCTGCTTCAGTGTGAGGTGCTCAGTGTAATTGGAAGAGAAAAGAGAGACAGCGGCTGCTTTTAAAGACAGTTAGCCGCTGGACTCTGGATTCAGGTCAAAGCACAAGTTAATTTGTTGCTGAAACGTGTTTGTTTGTGGTGCATTTGTCTCAGGGACTACAATGAGGTGAATGTTAATTAGCCCCTTAAAACTTTGCTCTAGTTTTTTTGAAATGAGCTTGTACTTTGCACGTAGCTCCTCCTGATATTTAGCTCGGGTAAATAATTACTCTGACCTACCAGGCTTTCAAGTTATATAGCAAAAGAACAAAATGCTGTATTTCAAATGCTTAATTTTAGAAAACTTTTTTATAGTGAGGTAAAGCAGTTTTCATGGTTTCTTTGAAACCATGAAAACCAAATAGTAGCATTTCATGGAGAAATGCTATTCATTTCAGAAAAAAGTATAGCATGTCTCATTCATACCTCAGTTTATCAATGAGAAATGCTTAATAATGCTAATTATTTTCAGAACAAATGCTATTCTCTGCAGTTTGGAAAGACATGACGTTTAGGATTTTTTCCAGGTTTGGAAAAGATTGGAAAAAGAATAGAATAGAAATGGCATTTATTGCTGTGCAAAGGGGGAAATTCAGGATTAACATTTTTTTTATTTATTTATAGATACTTCATAATCCATTTTTTATGGTTTATACAAGTACATATGCTGTTCATATTACACAGATGTACATAAGTTTGCAAATCACATTTTAATTCAAAGTGTGCTATAAATAAAGCAGGTTTGGTCTTTGAAGTTCTGTGAGATAGACAAGCAGGATTACTATGTGAAAGTCTGCCTATTGTGTAACACACACTTCATGCATTTCCCCTCTGTCACCACCGTTTAATTCAGGATGACTGTGCAGACGCTCTCTCCTCTCACACCAGGTGGATGTTGAGCGAACTTAGCGTTTGTTGCTTTTGCTGCTGCAGCTCTGTTGGCTCAGATGACATGAACCAGCGTGTCACTTAAAAAACATTGACTTTTGCTGATTTTTACTGCACAAATTCTCAACAAACACCATCCCAACATGCTCCCTCAAATTAATTTATAATACAGAATTGAAGTCTGTATAGTTAATTATCATCGTAGAGTAGTGGGAAGAAAAAGCAGATCTCTGTGGTTCTACACTTTTGCTTCTTTCAAACTACAGTAATAGTTTGGAAAGCCTTCAAATATCTGAACAAACTGACGTGCGCTCATTTTTCTAAACAAACCATCAAAGCTAATGTTACTAAATACGCAGTGGGCTAATGCTAATAACACTACAGGAGACAAATAATGCTCCAGCTGAATTGCTTCGAAACAAAAACAGATCCAGAAGTATCTAGTTTCCAAATCTAATTTAAATAATATTACTGCAAATGATAATTAAGCTTTACTACTAATGTTACAGCGAATCTACAAATCACAAACGGGGCTTTGCAAGCAGGAGCACCATTTGTTTTGAAAAGCTTGCACAGGCCAAGCTTTTGTATTTAATCAGCACAGAAACATCACCTACATCTTCAGATGCTGCAGTTCAATTCCACTCTGTCAGGGAGAAAAACATTTGGTTTGATAAACCGCTGCTCGCTCCCTGTGATTCCTCACCTCTAATTGCCTTTATTTTGGATGGAGCAGTGAAACTGGTGCAGATTGCATCTAAAGTGAAAACCCTGCTTCTCTTTAACAGCCTTGATCTTTCCATTGATCTCCCGAATAATAAACTTCTCTTTTTGTAATTAAGAAGCCACGCTGGTGAGCAGGAGCTCACTTTGAAGCGAGCAATCCAGAAAACCAGCTCCTCAGAGAGCTGCTAGTGTTGCTTTAAAGAGTTCTTTTTTTTCTTTTCCTTTAAAGGCGCTGAGTGTTTATCACAGGAAAAAACACTGTGTGCATGTTAGTAATAAATATTAAGTGTGTTTTCCCGACCACCTGTGATGCAGTGTCGGGTCAGGATGCGGAGATGGAGATCGTGACGGTGGCCGACCCCTCGCTGCTCGTCGCCGCCGACGTGTCGGCCATCGCTCTGGACTTTAAAGTCCTGCACCCGGTGGTGATCACCCGGCTCGGGGTGTTTTCCAGCGGGACGCGGCCTGAGCTGCACGGCAACGTGACGGTGAAGCTTCTGCAGCTGGACCAGGAGGTGATGGAGCGCTTTTATCTGTGAAGCTCGGTAGAAACTGAGCTTGGGGGCAGCTGGAGGACTCGGCTGACCTCGCTTTTAAAAAACTGATGCTTTGGTGTTTTGTTGTGGATCGCTCTTGATTCTTTAATAACTCCAGTTTTTCTTTTCTCTCTGCAGGAGGCTGTGGTTACAGCCCGGTTCAGCTCCATCAGCATGGGGACCGTGGTGAACTGGGTGTGGTACAAACCAGTGGAGCAGTTCATCTTGCCCAAGGTCAGTTTCTCCACTCAGGGTGCCGCACTTCAACCAAACCGCAGAAGAAAACCCTCAGGCTTGAGTCAAAAACATGGAGTTTTTTTTTTTTTGTTTTGTTTTTTTTTACAGATAGCTCATTCCTTTTTTTTTTTTTGAAATTTTACTTTTAATCCTAATATCTGTATATTTAATGTGAACAAAAATGATCTTGCGTGTTGTCAGGATTAGATGCCATCAATATATGTGTATTAATAAATACCAATAAATAAAAAAATGTTTAATGCAGTTACTGTGAGCATTTTAGTGATTGAAATCATGCTTTTTGTGTATTTCAAGAGCAGCCATATAGTTATCTAAAACAGTAATAAATAGTTCTTACTGTCACTTTTCATTATCACAATATGACCACTAAATATTGTGATAAAACTTTAAGTCCGCTCCTATTTTTAATTCAGGTCTGAAGCAGTGCTGCTCTGCATGCTGTAACATTTTAAACATTTTATTTTACTCATTCCTCATTGAGAATGTCACGTTTTTTTCACATGGCGGTGAAACCTTAAGAATAGAGTATCTAGGTTTTACATTAACCTTTAATGTAGTTTTGTTTGGAAAAATCTGAATCATACTAGATAACAAAGGTTTTGACCTTTAAAAAAAACGCAAATTTGTGATATTTTATGCACTACTAGACCAACACAAAGTCGTGCAAATAAAAATATGAAAGGTTCTTCATTCCGTTGAATAAATACTTTGCAGGACTATGTCTTGCTGCAGTTATATTTCAGAGTTACAGCTGCATGTCATTTTGGGGTATTTCTCCACCAGCTTTGCATTTCCAGAGATGATGGAAACACAGCAGACAAACCAAACCCAAGTCTTTTATTTTTATTGATTCACAAGGAAGCAAATTTTACAGGACATATATCCACATTAACATAATGCCAATTTCAGTACTTAAGAAGAAAAGAAAAGTAGACTTGTGCATCCTGATAAATAATGCAGCTGTTATAAATCTGTTTCCAGAGAAAGACTACAACATTCAAAGTTCAAAATAGGATAATGTAAGAGAAAAGGGAAAAAAAAGTAAATAGTAAATAAAAATGAACAAACTAAGAGTTATAAATAAATGTATATATTTTTTAATGTCTGTCTAAACAGACAGATTTCCTGTTCTGGTCGAGCCCATGTCTGCATGTTGATGAATTTCTTTTACCTGTTTTTTTCTTGAACTTAAGAGTTATTCAAGTAACTGAATAAAAAATTGAATAAAAACCTGACCTGATTGAGAAAAATGGGTGTCATTTTTGGATTTAGTGGTTTAAAATAGTCATAATTCAGTTGAAAAAATAAACAACAGACAAGATTGTAACCCAGCGTAGCAGTTCAAAGGCAACTAAAAACAGGTGGATTTTAGTCTTGATTTAAAGTAACTCAGTGTTTCGGCTGTTTTGCAGTTTTCTGGAAGTTTGTTCTAGATTTGTGGTGCAAAGAAGCTGAATGCTGCTTCTGCATGTTTGGTTCTGGTTCTGGGGATGCAGAGCAGATACATGCAACCATATGACAAAATGTGTAAAAGTTAAATCATTTGTTTTATTTAAATCATTGTAAAACCTGAACATCATGATGCACCTGAGTTAATTTGATTTTGTTTAGGGTTTTGAGGGGACGCTGGTTTGGGAGAGTCAGGACTCTGCTCTGCTCACCACCGTCAACTCCTCATCCGTGGAGCTCAATGATGGCGGCGGCGTCCTCAAGATATCCTCTGTAAGTATTTACGTCTCAAAGAAAGCCGCACCGGGAGAGATATTTACATATTTCAGAGAATAAAACTGTTGTTTTGCTCTTTGGAAATGCAGATTGCAGAAGGCGTCTTGCCTCACAGAAGTGCTCTTGGATTTCCCGGTTTGGCTGGAGGATTCACGTTTACCATCTACGGTTAGTCCTGCGACAGCATTGATTCAGCCGCAGCTTTCATGAAAAGTGTTCAATCAGTATCCCTCCCAGAGCCATCTGTTATGAAAAAGATAATCCCAATCTAAAAGCTCCAAAAGACATCGCTCATTCTGGCAGGTTAAGAGATACCTGAAAGCTCCTGCGCTTATGCCAAATGGACACCTGTTGTTGTTGGATTATTGATTGTTACTCGTATGTGCTTACATCTGTTTCTGTCTGAGAATGAATTCGTAGCCATTTTGTGTGGAAAAAAGTTAAATTAGTCTTTCAGCATCTCTGAAAACAGACCTAATGATCCATTTTGAAACATGCTGCAGCTTTATCATTGTTTTGACAGCCAGTAATTAGCTATTATCTCTCAAGAATGCACTTTTGTTGAAAATCTAGCAGAATAAATCCTTGCTGCTTCTAAAAACTCTTGTCTTCTTCTATCGTTTTGCTACCGATTACCTCCATGCGGGTACCTGGGTGTCAGATGAAGACGGATTGTCCGGGCTCCTGCGAGGCCGCGCTGCCAGGATGGAGAAGCACACCTCCGGTTTGAGGCGGGAGGACGCCACTCTGCAGGAGGAGAGCCTCAGGCATGGCGATGTGGTGTTCGTAGACGTGGTGGACACCTACAGGAACGTGCCTTCCAAGTTGCTTCAGTTCTATAAATGGTATGCCAAGTGCTAATGACTCGATTCTCTGTCTCCAAATTGCCTGAGCCCTCGGAGGAAATCAGCAACCTGAAATGAAAGCGTGCCGTCGCCTCAAAACGTCTTTGTGCTAAAATTACGGCTGCAATCAGTCAGTCGGAGAAGCTTCGCCGTTGTGAGTCATCAGATAGCAGAATGTACTCCCTGAGCGGTAGCGGGCTTTAAATTGACAGCTGCAGTGGGTCTAGAAAGTGTACACATTCCTGTTTTTGAGATGCGATAAAACAGGAGTCCGATAAATAATCTCCAACAGATTAGCTAAATCAACAAATCTGCAACAGCCTTAAACTGACAGGTTGTTTAAGCATCTTCTGATTCCTCAGCATGGAAGACATCTTGCTGAAGCCTGCAGATCCTCTGCGAAGTAACAGTGCTACAGCCTTATTTCAGATTAATCAGATTGACTCTAATTGTTGCCAGGAAGT